GTCTATTAAATCTCCTTACTGTAATAGGGATTTCAAGGGGTGCTCAGTCAATACCACAATCTTATGGGCTTGGAAATAATGGTTCAACTTCCTGGAGGCCACAATCAAGGCCAATGTCAATTTCTCCAGGGGTAAATACCTGGTCTTTGCTCTTGCGAGGATTTTACTCACATAATATACTGTTCTTTATTCTTCATTCTCTTCTCTGATTATCACTGCACTTACTGCGTGCTTTGAAACCACCAAGTATAAGAATAGCTCCTCTCTAGGTATCGGATTTGAGAGAACTCGAGCTGTGGTCAGGTATATTTTTAAGTCAACCAAGGAGACTTCACATTCCTCTGTCCACAAGAAATCAGTGGCCGTTTTCAACAGACTGAAAAACGGTTTACACTTATCCAAACTTTTGCTTATGAATCTATTCAGGGTTAGACTGAAAAACGGTTTACACTTATCCAAACTTTTGCTTATGAATTTGTTCAGGGTTGCAGCTCTTCCAGTCAACATCTGCACTTGTTTTGCTGACTCTGGCCTTTTCAAATCTAAGATGGCCTTGATTTGATCTAGGCTTGCCTCAATGCCCCTTCTGGTAACCAGGTATCCCAAGAACTTACCAAACCCTACTCCAAAATGCACATTTCAAAGCATTGAGTTGGAGCCGATATGTTCTAAGGATGTCGAACACTGCCTTCAAGTCGGCCAGATGACCCTTAGGTTCCTTGGTCTTCATGACCATGTTGTCGATGTATACTTCCACTGTTTTGCCAATCTGATGTCTGAACATCTTGGTTACTCACTAACCTCTAGTATATTGCTCCTGTATTTTTCAAATCGAAAGGCATCACTATATCGCAATACAGCCCTTTTGGAAGGGGTACATTGCTATCTGATAGTACCCCCTATAAGCGTCCAGGAAGCTCATCCTTTCATGTCCTGAAGTGGTATCCACTAATTGATCGATCTTGGGGAGTGGAAAACTATCTTTAGGACAAACCTTATTCAGGCTAGTAAAGTCCACGCAGACCCTCCACTTCTCATTCTTCTTTTTTACAACCACGGTATTGGACAGCCAGGTAGGGTAGTTTACCTCTCAGATGGCTTTGGCCTCTAATAATTTGTCCACTTCCTCCTCTACTGCCTCCACATGAACCAACGTCGGCTTCCTCGCTCTCTGATTGATGGGTTTTGCCGACCTGTCTACGTTCAGTCTGCGGCATGTAACCTCAGGGTCAATGTTAGACGTTTCGTATGGCGTCCAGGCAAACATCTCTATGTTTGCTCGCAAAAATGCTTCTAACTCCCTCTCCTCTTCCTCGGCCAAGCCTGAGCCGAGGAGGAAAAAACGCTCTTCATCCCCTTGTTGAACCAGAATTTTCTTCAAGGCTTCCTCGCTTTTGTCAGTCGGCTCTTTGCTGGCGTCATCCAGGACCTCCATGTCCTCGTCCTTAATCTCTACGGTCTCTGCTGCCTCTCGCACGTTGTAAGTGGATTTCATTGCTGCCATGGAGCAATTTTTTGTCTGCACTTGATCCCCTTTGACCTCCTCAATTCCATGCTCTGTTGGAAACCATAACAGCTGGTGTAGTCTTAAGGAAACAGCCCTCATTGCGTGCAACCATGGCCTTCCTAAGATAACATTGTAAGAGGAGGGGGTGTTAATTACTGTGAACTCTGTGCTTACATTCTTGGTGCCTGTACCTCCAAATTTATTGCTCCTAAGGGCCATGTCGGCATTCCATTGAACCCGACCATTGGACTATTGGACTGCTTCAAATTATCTTAGTGAAGGCTGAGCTCCTTGTAACATCTGACATACATAATGTCATAAGAGCTACCTTGGTCAACCAGAATGAGCCTAACCTGGCACTCTCTAATCTTCAAGGATATCACCAGAGCATCATTGTGTGGATGCTACACCATGTCTAAGTAGGCTTCAGTAAAAAAGACCATTGGTCCATGGTACTTGTCTGCCCTAGGCCTCTTTTGCTGGACCTAATACACATGTTATAAGTGTTTTACCCTCTGAGTCTCCCCACGTACCTCGTTCTCATTGACCTTCGAGTGGATCACATTAATCACTCGAGGCTACTTGTAGTTGTGGTGCTGGTGGAGGTGGTGCTGCCGGTGCCTGAGGCAGCCTTGCTTACTCTTCCCTTGTTCTGGCCTCATCTACCCGGTCCCTTAAGTGACCCTGTCTTACCAGGTCTTCACAATGTGTCTTTAGGGCTCTACATCCCTGAGTCAGGTGCACATCCTCATTGTGGTAGGCACAGTGCTTCCCCAGGCTTCTTCCCATAAATTCGCCAGGGATCTTCTTTGGTGCTCTATAGTAAGGTTGATTCCTAATCCTTTCCAGGATTTTGTAAATCGGGATCCGAAACACTGTGGTGACTGCCTGTGCAGCCCTCAGTCTCATTTCTTGTCTGTTAAAGTTTGTATTACCTCGGCCTCATTTCGGCGAGCCATTCCTCTTTCCTTGCTTTGACGCCTTTGTTCCTGGCGTGTCTTCCTCTACTCTCCCATATTTCTCGATTCTGGCCATAAGTTCCTCCATACTTTTTGGTAGTGTCTTTGCCAACAACTTTCGAAGCAGACAGTCATCGTTCAGGCCATTCTTAAAAGATACGACGGCCACCTCTTGGTTGCACCCTGGTATTCGGTTAAATACCTCATAATACCTTTTGGCATAAGCCCTGAGGCTTTCATCCTCGCCAATTCTTAAAGCCATCAGCGAGTCTACCCTCAACAGGTGCAATTTGTTTGTAACAAAGCTGGATACAAACATCTCGGGTAAGCCTTTCTAACTTTTCACAATTCCTTTCGGCAACTTGTGAAATCAATCTCATGCAATTTTCCCAAAGAATGGGGGGAACACCTTGCAAAGCAACAACTCGTTCTCGGTATACAGTGCCATTGAGTTCAAATATAAGCCGACATGAAAGTTGGGATTCAGACTTATCATCGTATATCTAGAATCTCGATATGTGGAACCTTTTTGGGGCCTCAAACTTGTCCAATTCTATTGAGAACGACGTTCTCGGCTTGACCGGAGATGTTACCTCAGCATCTTGTCGCTTCCTCTGGAGGTAATCCCTCAAATCCTCCTTAGTCCGTCTAGGAGCTCGGCTATCAATGGATTTTAACCTTTTTGGTACGTTGCTCCCCGGTGTCGTTATTAGTCTTCTTGGACCTCCCTCCATTCATCGGGTCAAAACAAAGCTCCTTCCCTTGAACATGCCGATGTTTTTTGACGTAGGTTTCTTTGGCACAATGTGTCTTTTGAGACTTTCCTCTCATCGATTCTCCTCACCTGACCTCCCGTGAAGGCTGATGCGAATGCTCTCTTGTCCTGTCATGCTGAGGGACTGCAGGGATTGCTTTATGCCCCTCTTTCTGGGCATCGTGCTTGGCCGCTGGAATCGGCGTGTCCTCTAATGGGAATGGTGGCTACATGACGTTGTTTTGCATCATGAAATTGACAATCGATTGCAGGTCTGCCAATTTGTTTGCCATCCCCCTCATCTCGCCATCCCTTCTTAGGCATCTATCTTTCCATACCTGGAGGTCACTTTCATTGTAATGCCTGCCCTAACACACTTTCTTTGGTACGTCTCCCTTTTAGTCGAAATCTTTTTCTCTAGGATTCTTATCTCGAGTTTCTTTGTTGCAATTGTCCTCTACGTTTGGATCGGCATTTTTACCACTTCCACTAGGGATGTCGCCCCCAATCTTTTCTTTCTACCCGTTGTTGGCCATCTATTCTCCTTTTGCTTCCCACAAATGGCGCCAAATTGTGGATACTGATTTCCGACCACACTGCCAAACAGGGAACTCAGCTGGAGTGCACAGGTAGAATAAATTACTCCCGAACAACCTGTCACGGAAAGATAAGGCTCCAGCGGTGGTTCGTCCACCAGGGGACACTCCGACGATCAAGTCAGTACTCAGTTTATCTCTCAAAGATAGCAAATAGTGCTTAACTCACAAAGCCAGAATACAAAAAACGTACCTTAGACCCACGAGGGTGCCTTATTTTTATAGCCAGCACTAACCTAATCCCTGTAGAAGCCTAGTTTCAATGGACTCTAGCTCAATGCTTATCTGGGACTCTTAACTAGATAGAGATAAACTCCCTAAGAACTTTATCTTTATCCAGACTGAGATCCTCCCTCAATCTAGGACTCTTGTCCCTTATCCGCTTATCTGGGATTCCGATATCTCCGCAGATAACCTCGACTTATCCAAGATAACCTCAGCAACATGACCAATACACGTGACACCTCGACTGACACTCCGGTGCTACCTTGGCCACGTGTTATCATTCACAAAATATGTTGCCACAGGATTGATACTATAATTTTGCAAATGTCTATTGTCCTGTTTGGTGGAGTTTTTCCTAACTTAAAAGTTGATAATCAGAAAATAGAAGCTAAAAGTATCTCTGTCCCAACTTTCAAATAATTACTTTTTTTTAGCTTATTTAAGTTATTTTTGCCTAATAACCTATAAGCAGAAGTTGTACTAAATAATCTGATATAGACTCTCAAATCAAAATAAGCTATAATCACCCCTAAAACTTGTTACAAAAAGTCCCTATGTCAAGTTGCAAGGGACAATTATTTGAATGTATTTTTAGTGAGAGAATATGCTTTTCAAGTTCTAGTTCCGTCAACATATAGTGACGAAATGAAGAATAGTTTTATGCAATAACGAAAGTGGCAACACATGGAAAATGAAAAAGAAAGCTAAGGTAGTGAATTGGGACAGAAGTTCCGGCGTTAATAAGAATTTATCGACATTGTTTTAGAAAATTTGGGAAAGTTAAAGTTATACTTTTTTTTTTCTTTATTGATTTCATTAATTAAATAGCTGATTGGTCATTTTAATTTAGCAAACTACGAATATTATTTTTTTTCAAAAAATCTTACATTTTATTTTATTTTTATTTTTTTTTAAGGGTGGTTAAAATATTGAGAATTACAAGCAAGCAGTACTAAAATCTAGAGTTTGATATAACCATTCTGGATCATCCATTGAAGACTCCAATGGTTGTTGACATTCTTGAGGGTCCAATAAGCCCAGCCGAAGGTGGCCCGCCCATGCACTTGCAATTGGGCATCAGCAAACTTTTGGTAATCCTCTCTCGTGGCCCGACTTACCTTCCATTCTGCAACCCATTCCCCTGCAAATTCAAACAAAAGGTTCATTCATTTTCTAGTAAATGAAAAGACCAAACAAGTTCTATTGACAATTTGACATATACTGGTAACATTTACGAAAATGTTTACAGTTTATTTTTAGTAAAGGTGAACATAAAACATATTTGGTACGTATGTTTTAGAACTGTTTTTTTTTTTAAAACAAGTGAAGAGGGTGGCTCAAAATGGTTGACGATGCTCGGAGATGATGATTGAAAGTGGTTATCAATTGCTGGAAATGCACCCTTGGAAGGGTGTTCCTGTCCGTTGGAGGGTGTTGGTGATGGCCATGAATGGTTGCTGACAATCGAAGATGGTAACCGAACGTCAAAGGTGGTGACTAACAGCCAAAGTTGGTGAAAAGAGGTGGTTACTATTAGTGGGAGGTAGCTGTTAAAAGAATTTATAAAATGTTTATAAGTTTTTGAAAATGAAAATAGATATTAAACAAGTTTTTGTTTATAATTTATAAAAAAAATTTATAAATATAAATAAAAAAATAAAAAATAGAAAACTATAAACATAAAACATTATCAAACATGCTAGCAAATTTTAAAAAAAAAAAATTAAAAAAAAAATTGCATTAGAGCTGCATGAGTTTGATTGCCAAATATAATAACTGAAATTATACGAAAGAACATTAGGAACATTACCCACAAAAGTGAGAGGCCCATTTGATGTAGTAACCAGATTCAAATCAGCTGTTCGGTTGGTGTTGATGAAGTTGATGTTTTGTTGGACAGTCATGTTGTTAAAGACATCAGAGAAGAGGTTGTAGTAATGTACATCAATCACTGTCCTCTCTAAACCACTAGCAAGAGGAAAGAGTTCTTTAGGATCAGCTTGTCCTAACCGGTTTGACATAACCACATAAGCTGTTTTGGAGTACTTTCGAACAACTTCATAACCAGCTTTATAGTACTTGATTATGCTATCTAGTGATGCTCCAGGTGCTAAAGGCTCATTGATCAGCTCAACAGCATAAAGGCTTGGGTTGTTAGCATATCTATAAGATCATATAACAATAAAAAAACAATAATTTGTGTGAATTTGATTGGAGTTGATTTAACAATTATTTACATTAGTTTCAGTCAATTTAACTTTATTAAAAGAGATGTTAGTAGATTTTGGATCAAGTTGTTTGGACATGTGCAGTCCACCACTGATCTTATTTCGATGATTCAAACTATTCATTTTTAAACCATAACGTGTAGATCATCGACCAAAAGAATTAAGTTGATTCAATAACCATAGCCACATTATTTTATGTGTACTATATAAGCACACTTTTTATCTTCGTATCTTTTTTTTGGTCACATCACCTCTCTATTTTTTGCATATCTTTTCGTAAAAAGTCAAGAGGTGCACTTATTTAGATCATCCCAAACAACCTCACGTAAAAAAATGAATGACAAATATTATTTGAAAATTAAATCATTTATTTTCCATTCCAAGATATTAATACATAGCTGGAAGTACATCCTTCTTTTCCTCTGAAATATTCCACCTTCTCAGCAAACAACTGAAATACATCCTTCTTGGCAGCTTGTTTCTGAAATTATGATAAAAAATTAGAAAACAAAACAATAACTCATAACTCAAATTATTCATGATCTATGATAATAGAAGGTACCAAATCAGCCAAAATAAAACATTCTCTAACAAACAGTTCAGCACATTCACTAGACATACATGATACACCAGTGTCAAGCATGAATGCATTGTGACAAACTATTTTTTAGTCACATAGGAGGAAACTGATTACTACATGTTTCTGCATTGATAGGAAAAGAAGAAACAGATCTGGAGACTGTGCTTGGAATTTATGCCTTTTGATTGAAAACTTGCATTTAACTCCTCAGGTGACTCAAATTAATGTGTATCTTTCACTGTTTTTGTTCTCATTACTCCTCAGGTGACTCAAATTAATGTGTATCCTTTGTCAGCTTCATGTTCCCAAAAACATGAAAATGCATACTTTGCACGAATGAAATTCTCAATCCCAACCCTGTCGTAATTAGGGGGCAGCTCTGCTTCCCAATAACAATTTGCCTTCTCATTTCCCATTGCTGTATAGGATAGGAAACCATATATTGAGTCACTTTCTTGTTATCTTGGACCAACATCAGCCTAAAAAATGAAACTGTACTCACAGAGAAGCTTACATTGAATAAATGCAGCCTGTTCGGGAAGCCATATGTCCAGAGTAGCAGACCTCACCTGCAAAAATCCAGAAAGAACCCATTGATAAGTATGCAAATAATAATTGGCATTTTCTTAACCACGTATTTGTGTGCAGAAGTAAAAAATATTTTCTTCTTATGTACTCCTTATGTAAGTGACATGTGTTAAAAATAATTTATTTTAATGTCTAATTTAAATGGAATGACTAAATTGAAAATGAAATTTGAAATTTAGTGTTAATATTGTTTAAATTGGAATAATGGAAAATAAAGTGCAATTTGAGTCAAATTAAATTCAATAAACTTAATAAATTAAAAACACCAACCAGTATATTATAAGCATTTTTTTTCAAAAAATACTTGCTATCAAATTTTATTTAATTTAAAGTTTGAATTAAGATAATAAATTGCAAATTTTAAAATATTAATTATTGGATTACAAATTTTTTAATTAATTTTAATTTAAAAGGTTGTGAATACATATGATTAGGTACACATGATCTTACCGTATGGTTGAAATTGAAATCATGCTAAAAAATAATATATGCACTGGAAAGTGTCTCGCAGTTATAATCTTCTGACACTATAACATGCGAAAATATGATATTAACATGATTAAAATAACATGATCAGTTGGAGATGCACTATTTCATACTAATATAATGGCACAAAATGCAATATACGCAAAACATGTGATTGTATGCTTGTACCTGGCAGTTAAGAAGTCTATAACGTCAATTGTCTGTTGTATATTTTGGTCAGATAATCCTCATTCTTGAAATCCATCTCTATGCTCAAAACCATTTTGAGAACCTGGTGCAGCATGTAGGTCAATGATAACCTTAATGCCATAGTTTCTGCAAGCAAAATAACACCAAGTTATTAAACATATTTAAGTTTATTTTTTGTGAGAACGAAAAAAATAACATGTTCAGCACAAACATGTTTTCAAAAACTTATATTGAAAAAAAGTGAGGAGGTTGGCCGCGGCCAGAAGTGAATCTTGATGGGAGGTGATTACTAGTGGTCAAAGGGGAGTTGTGGCCTAAAAAGGCTGGGGGAACGAGAAATGAATGAAAATTTGTTTTCAAAGTAAGTGATTTTTTCAAACCAAAAATGATTTCATCAATTGAATTAAGATTTTTTTTATAAAATAAATTTTTTTAGTCAATACATTGACTTTTAAGCCACAATTGTTTGGAAACAGATTATTTTAGTAACTTTTTGGTATTTTCAAAAAAAAAAAGATGTAAAAAAGTAAAGAAAATTATGATTATAATGACTTTTTAGTTAAAGTATTTAACTTTTTGATATTTTCAAAAAAAAAAAAAGATGTAAAAAAGTAAAGAAAATTATGATTATAATGACTTTTTAGTTAAAGTATTTAGTCCCCAAACGAATTGTTTGAGGTTAGTGAGGAATGCAAGTATTTGAGTGAAAAATCTATCTGGACTAGAATCTAAACATTTTAGGTTTGATTCTTTTTAGTATTGTGTTTGAATTTAATAATTTTCATTACACATTTAGTCTTATTGATACACATAATTTATCAATAACTATGTGCATCCAGATTTACTTTGCAGGATTTATTTTTTAAAAAATCAAAATAAAAGAAAAAAAGTACATACCTAGACCATAGGAAGGCATGGTCCAAGGCTTTCAAAGATCCCCCAATGTAAGGGTGTGGAGGTTTTGGATCACTGGCAATCCACCACCCTACTGGAATTCTCACTGCATTTATTCCATTCTTTGATATGAACTTGAAGTCTTCTTCAACTATGAATGTCCTCCAATGCTCCTGAAATCCATCAATTTTTCTTTTCATATAAAATATAAATTTTGATTTCGTTCATTTGTTTACTCAGTTCCAAAAATAAATATGGCTTCTTTGGGTGTGATTTGATTTCTTCTTTTTTGTTTTTCATATTTTTCAAAAGAAAAAACGAAAAGTTTAAAGAAAGAAAAAAAAAAAAATCACTTAGTGAGAAAGCAATTTTTTTACTTTTCCTAACAGTTGTGCTGTTTGTGAACAAGAAAAAGGAAAAAAATTGTGTTTTTGGAAAATGAAAAATGAAAAAACAACCAAACAAACTCTTAATTTCAACAATAAACTTTTGTTAATTGTATTTTAATCCTCATTCATAGCCCGCGATATTCAATTTCAATTCTATTTTAATATAGACATGGTTTGAATTCTCTCTGTTTCTTGCAAGAAACGGAGATATCCATCTCAAAGGATGCGAGAACAACACATAATCAAAATCCTACTTTAATTTTCGATAAATTGCCATGCCATTATGAGTTTTAGTGGGTTTAATGTAAAGAATTATTAAGATTACTGTGCAGTCCTTAATCATGAAATCAAAATCTCTCAACTACGTGAACCTATGATGTCCTTCAGTCAAATTCAATCAATTAGTGAAAAAAGAATAACTTGTAACTCGCTAGAGCATCTTACCCTCATAACTTGCGATGCCTTGAGTGGTCCATAGCCATGTGTTAATTGATACTCTCCTTGCAATCTCCTGCTTATTGTCATAATAAAAACAGATGGATCGCTATCTCCCCAGCCACCATCTCCTTTTGAATCAGCTGCCATACGTTCCTCTGTTTTTACCTAAAAATTCATAATATGAGAGAGTTTATGTTTTGCATTTTTAATGCTCATACATTGCATTAATATATTAAAAAATATAAATTAAAAACAGTGTTCAAAATTTGAGAATATGAAAGATTCATTTGAATCTAATAGAGTTAATCAAAACTATTATGTTTCATCAGTAGATAAAAGATTCAAATTTTAATATAGATAAAACTCCTCTTTCTCATAATACAGCCTTAACAATTCATTTGGATTGGGTGATATAGGAAGAAAAGAAAAATAAAATGCATATCTCTCAATTCATATCACTTGTTTATTTTTTATAATTGTGTGTTTAGGTCAGTTTGTGCACACTTCAACTATATTGAATAACTAAAAATGAGATAAATTAAGTGAAATGAGAAAAAATAGAGAGAAACTCAATTATTTTATAACCTTCATTTTGAATCTCTCTAAAAGTGGAGATGTTGGAAGGAGACAAAAACAAAAACAAAAAACTAGTCGCTACTTTTTTTTATAATACCGTAAATGTCCCTTTAGATATCAAAGAAATATAAATAAATAAAGGTTGTTTTGGTAATATAATATTAAATAGTTTCTTTTTTTTGTTTTGTTTTGTTTTGTTTTTTGTTTTTTGTTTTTTGTCTGGAATGTAATAACCAAACAAAATAAGAGAAATAATTATATTATCTTTTCTTATTATCTTTTCTCTCCTATTTATTCAAACAAAAGTCAGAAAAATGATAATTTCTTCTCTTATTTTCTTCTTTTTTTCTAACTTATGCAATCACCTCTTGAGCCACAGTTTAGTTTGACGAATTAGTTAAGAGTGTCTAATTAGTGTCACACATGTCTGTCTAATTAGTGTCACACATGTCTGTTGCCTGTTATGTAAGACAGTCGTAACAGTCGTGTAATACACTATCTACGTTGTACTTTCGACAAATGTGAAATACACTCTAAGAATATCAGTCTTTGTCTCTTAATCATACCATTCGTAAAAAAAAGTTCAATCTGGATCTTTTAAAATAATTTTGCGTAGAGTAATTTTATATGCTTTTTTGAATGGTTGAGATTTAATTACAAAAATGAGTGAGACCCCCCACTGGGAGTGACCCCACCACCTCCAGTGAATGCTGATTGGTCTAATTTTTTTTTTTTTTTTCGTCCTCCTCTCGTTGACCCCCACGTGTATGTAGGGAGGTGGGGGTCTGTATCACTTTTGATTTAATTATATAAAAGTTGAGGATACAATAATACTAAGTTGAGAGTACAATAATATTGATAATCACTTAAAAAAAATCTCAACCATAGAAAAATAATTTAAGATTGATTTAGGAAAAATCACTCTGAGATTTGTACTCAAAAATTTTACTTCATCATTTAGACAAAATACTAAGGGGTATTCTGAAAAGATAGTTAAAAATTACTTTTTAATTTTTTTAACTTTTTTGTGAAAGAAGAAAATGGGTTAAAAGGTGGAAAGTCATTTTTAACCCACTTCCTAAAATATATTTAAATAGACAATGTAATATGAAACTATTTAATAATTATTCAAGAATGACACCGATGTATTTTATGATTTATTTTCTGTTAAGAGTCTACATAGAGAATGGCCCCGTTTGGTAGAGCTGTGGGAAAATGATTATAGCCTATACCTTAATAGCTTATAGCTTATAACTGTGAACATAAGCTGATTTTTGACTTATAAATTAAGCTTCTCCTCTCCTACTCAAAGAATAAGTTGATTTTTTACTTACAAAAAACTATAAGTTGTATTGTTAAGCTGAACCAAACACATCAAAATAGCTTAAATTAAGCTAAAAGTTGAAATAAGCTGAAAATAAGCCATACCAAACAGGGCCAATAGCTATTTAATAATTATTGGTTGAAAGACTCTCCCAACCACTAGGTGGTGGGCACGTGCGATGTGTATGGCTATGTGACCATTTAAATTTAGGGCTCTGCTGGGGACCCTAGTGCCACATGGGGGGCTGCCATTGGCTAGAAAAAAGAAAAAAAAATTTGGGCCAATGAGAAGAGACCCCTAGCACCCCATTGGGGGGTCTCATGCATTTTCCTTAAATTTAAAACAGAAAAAACCAAAACCCCAAAAAAAAAAGTTTTTGTTGGGATGTTGGTTGAATTTTTAATTTTTTAGCTTTTCGATTATTTTAATTAGGATTAAAAGTTTTGTTTGAGATAGACTTTTTGACTTTTTTAATTTTTATGAGAGAAAAATAAAATAATTATGATTTTTATATATGACATTTTGTCTTATT